GTCTGATAGACTATGCCCCATTTGTAATCCCCTGAACAGGTGTTTTAGCAGCCACCTGCTCCAGCAGGGTAGATGTACTTATTTCTGCCTTCTGGCACCTTCCCCAGTATTGGAAGCCTGCAAGAGCTCGAGTGAAGAGAGCTCCAGAGATCTTGGCCAGTACAGCTGGTCCTGGAAGTCAGTCAGTATCTGCTTCCTTCATTTAAGCTAACCATAAGGCAGCCCACAGATTAAGGACAGAATTGAACAGATGGCATACAGCTCCTCTGCCTTCTTTTCCCAGGTTATAAAGCTGATATGAAACTTAGATTCAAATCTAACAATTCTTATCTTACTCTTATTTCTTCAACTGTATAACTGATTAAATGAAGTTTATCATAAAAATTATTAACCAAATACCAGTGCAGCAATTCACCTTAAATATTACCATCTCTTATTTTTCATGTTGTAATCTCAAGGTGAAAGTGAACTGAATTAGAAACAACATTATTTATGGTTGCTTATATAGATATAGGGTGCATGCCACTTGTGGAAGCCACACTCAGTTAAATTTCACTATTTACTTTTAAGTTGTCAATCAATAGCTGTTAGCAAAGTATGTACAAAGGGCAAGGAGGGAGGCTTGTGAAATTGTTTATAAACCACATCAGAACAAGTCGACAAATTGCAGAACACTATCCACGTGGAACATTAATTTTAGTAATTACAACCAAGTAGCAGATTAGCATGTGCTATTTGTGTGATTTTGGATAAAATTCTTGGTGAAAAAAATTTCAATATGACATTATATTTGAAATAATAGAGCATTTTTAAACCAGATTTTTTAGATATTTTTGGATTATCAGAGAAATTATGTTTCAGAATATATTCATCCTTTAAGAAGTTTGACTGCAGCACTTTTCATTTAAAAATTCAATATGGACTTCTCAATGAACACTGTTTTAAATAATTTCATGGGAGTTGGGTGCAAAAGCTGTCCCTAAAAAGGGAGTTAGGAGCGGAGGGCATTGTAGACAAACAACAGGACACTGAGGTTCTGTGACCATCCTGTAATGCTGGCCCATGTGTCCCCTTCAGCCTGGCACTTTAGCCTCATAATTTTACTGCCAAGAAGTCCCTTTTGATGGCCATATCCCATGTGAATTCCTAGGCAACTACTATAAAAATGTTAATATTCTGAGGATATTCTATGAAACCAGCAGGAGACAGTATGTTCTCTAGACTTAGCCTCAGGACTGCTTTATGTCTGTCCATCTGTGTCCTGAATGTGTTTCTGCTTATACTGAAGGGAGAATAGCAAAAGTGGAGGAAGGCTTTTAGGGAGGTTAGAAGAATGCAGATATGGTCTATTTGTTAAGATGGAATACAATGAAGGAGAGTTAGGCATGTTAGTCAAACTTAAAACCTTAATCTTTTAGAACTTTTTCATTAAAAATTCCTGTTGAAATGTATGTAATTAATCTTGCTGTGAATAATCTTTAATTGTTGCACACATAGGGCAATGGTCTTGTTGGATTGTTGATTGAAATATGTTGTATAGCTGTAAGGAAAGATCTTTGGAACAGTATTTGATGAGACAAATTTGATTTGATTTTGCTGACAGAATCTTGGAGAAATCATCAGTTTTCCCGTCATCGTGTTTAAGTGTATAAGATGGACATATAGCAGAAAAATGAGAAAAAAATCCATGTTACGTCCCCAGTGCAATCTATGAAATGTGTGAATTTCCATACTTACTAATCTTCTTTGTGACACATTTTTTTATTTCAGAATACTGAGCCAGAAAATGCATTCATGCAGTGACATACAAAATTTATAACTTTACCCAAAACATACATAGACAAATTTTAGAAATTATGAATATGGCCATAAATGTTGGTAAGAGTCTATGTAGTAGTATGGTCATTTAAAACTAAAATTTCATTCATGTTTTGAATATGCACATTTGAAAAACTGTAACCCACTCTAGTACTCTTTCTTATATGATGTGTAGTTAACAATTGGAAATAATATAAATTTATGTTCAAAACATGTATCAAGGGGAAAATAAGTTGGAAAAAATAAGTGGAAAAATAGTTTTCCAGTTTACTCTTAAAACATGATTAAATGATTGCTAAGCTACCTAATTGAAGCAAACGTCCCATAATTATAGCTGTATCCTTGGTAGTAGAAATCTGCATATCTTCACAGGGAAAACAGTAGGATCTGGTGTTTCCATTTTATTGTTGATGCTGCCATAAAAAAGATTATGCATAGGAGAGATAGAGAAGAATGATCTTCTACATTTCCTGTAATACTGGCATACAAGTTGGACTAATATTTTTGTGGGCTTTTGAAAAATTGTTATTGACAAAGCAAAATGAAAACCTAGTTTCAGTACATGTTCCAGTACTTAAATCCTCATTGAGAACCTTGCATTTAGTTCAGTTATGCTTCCAGTAGATAGTGTCACAGGCTTAGTATTACACTGAGTGGAGACATGCAAAATAGTAACCTAGAAAGCATCCTTACTGGATGCTATCTTTTCTGGAATTTAATATTTTTTTAAATTGCATGAGAGGTGATACAGTGGTGATAGGGTTAATGCAAATCATTATGGCAGATAAAAAGCAAGCCATAGAAAAATTACTAATTTTGCATCATATTTTTAATGCTATTAAAATTATTTCCCCATGTTTCTAATCATATGTCACAGTCTTATTTTCTGGAAAAATCCCTTTGCCCAGGATTTCTCTCCTGGAAAGCTGAGAAGCCTCAGAGAAAAAGGAATTTCAATATTATCTCATTCGCTTCTCCTGTGTTTTGCTGCTTTGGAATGTGGTTGGAGATTGTTTATCCAACAGGTGATTGTCTCATTGGTTTCATGTGAATTGTTTTGACTTATTGGCCAACTGGGGCCAAGCTGCTTCGGACTCTGGAGAGAGTCATGAGTTTTCATTATTATTTTTTAGCATTCTGTAAGTATCCTTTCTGTATTCTTTAGTATAGTTTAATTTAGTATTCTTTAATATAATATAGTATCATGAAATAATAAATTAGCCTTCTAAGAACATGGAGTCAGATTCATCACTCCTTCCTGCCATGGGGCACCCAGCAAATACAATAATCATGTAGTAATACCCATAACTGAGGGTGCAAGGATTTCTTAATGGAGGGAGGGTGTGTTTTTATTTAACTTTTTTTTTAATCAATATATAACAGTAAGAAGCAATATGCCATGCAACAGAGCCATGACAAAAAAAGAAAGACATTCTGCCCTGTTTTTAAGAGCAGTACTTGTCACCTAAGTGATGATTTTCTTGATCTGCTTTCTGTTAAAAGTCTCTAAAAGTCACCACTATAAAACATAGCACTCTATTCTACCACATTTTTATGTATATGATTACAAGCAAACCTGTCATGAGACCATTACTTCTGTGACTACTCCAACAGGACACTTCTACAGATTTCTGATAAAAAGCCATTTTGAAAATAGTCAGGAAGAAAGTATTTGTTCGCCCCTTTTGCTTTACTGTTTTCCAGATGTGATCAGAAAGAGGAAGTTATTCCACTAATGGATCAGAAGATTGCTCTATGAATTAAATACCATTCTAAAAATACAACTCCCATATCTGAAAGATATAAATTCAAAATACAATGTGGATATATTAAAAAAGCCTCTTTAAAATCATAAGGAATTGAAAGATGCATAGTTTTGTGAGTTTCTGATGATGATAATATGTGAAAGAAAGAATCATCAGCATTCTATTTTCATATGTTGGTCTACATCCTATTCTTATATGCAGACTTAGTTAAATAGTTAAATAAATACCCACTCTTGTGTCTGTTCAAAAAGACCTTTTTCTGTGATGTAAACTAGATTTCTAAAATACAGGCTTTCTACTGAAAAGGTGAGCATACGGCACATTCCATTTCAAAGTGTGTTTCACATTTTGAACAAGTTTCTTGATGCAATAATTGTCAGCACCAAATGCAACCCATCAGTTTCAATTGCCAAGGAGGCTAGGGAGGAGAATCCTTCAATATGAATTCCAAAAACTTTAACATATTGGGAATATTTTAAATATGTATATTTATCCTTAATGTACAATTCAGTAATCATCATCTCCCAAGAGATACATGATCTTTATTTAAGGCAACAGATGCATGGTAAAAAAAATTGCAAGTGAAGGGCAGAAGCTGAAAAACAGTATAAGAAAAACAGTATAAGAAAAAGGACTCAGAACCCCCAAGTGTAAACTTTCAATGAAATGTCTGAGTAGAATGAAATTATCAACTTCAATAAAAATTTACATTTGTGTTGGGATGTGTTCAGAAAATTAGAAAGGGCTTGAGGCAACATCTAAAAGGGGAATTTAGGTTTTACTTTGCTGTGTCCTGTTGTCTACTGGAATCCACATTACAAATTAAATCTATAAATTCTTTATGAACATTGGTTTAATTTTTATGGCAGAAATTCAAGAGTTGAGAAACCTGATTGGAAAGACTTTCTACTCTTAACATAGAGCAGTTAATGGTAAATTCTGTCCTGTTGGTTATAGAACATTGTGGGAGAAAGCTAGCCTCAGTTTCCAAATGTGAGATCATTACATTTTTGTATAGGTAATAAAATAGTCATCAAAGGAAGGACTGTAACTGAGTAATATTTTGCTGGAATGCCATAGTTCCTTACCTATTGAGTTAGTCTCTCAATCTGTTTTACCTCTCATACTAAAAAAATCAATCCTTTCTATGTTTCTAGTCTGTAATATATCTTTCTGTTTAAACTTATAGCCAGTTTAAACAACCAATTCAATGTCATCTTTGCTATTGCATTGTCTGAAAAGTTGGATTTTGCTTTATAAAATACAATGTATAAGAAAATAGTCCTTTTGATTTTTACCTTTATAATTGCAAGTACATTCATCCAAATACATAAAACTAGGTAATAAATACCTCTGTGACAGTCTTTCATAATTTTTATTGACCTCATTTTTTCATTTGAGTTTGCTTTTGAACAGATACATACCATGCCTAATGAAGCTCTGAATTCTAGGATAGGAGTTAGAAACATGAAGAGGTGTTTGAATATGAGGACAGTGAGCATGCTGTGAGTAATCAATTGATTATGGGTTGGCTGAGACAGGAATTACAGCTCCAGGGTGTGCTAAATCTCTCAGTCTACCTAAGACTGTTTCATAAACTTATAAGAGAAAAAGTAGTTCCAAAATAACCTTTTTTTTTTTTTTCATGTTCTCTCTCATCTTCACACCCAGAGTTTGGGTGGTCTTTTAGGAAAGACCTTGTGGCCTAGCATGCATGACTCTTCAGTCTATTTCTTGTATAGTTAATGTGCCTGTTGAATATGTGGGTGTGAGTCAAAAGCTGATTTCATGACCACATTATTATGCTTGAATTAATGAAGAGTTTTCCAGTTAAAAAGTTGTGCTGATATTCTGTCTTGACTAGTATTTATCCAAGAGCTTGAAGTTGCTCATAAGTTATAAAAACATGCTACTTTTTCCTTTTCTTTTACTACAATTTGGAAGTTCTGATCTCTTCTAATGAAGAGAACTTACATCAAAATATAATAATGTATTTATTTAAGAGTATTTAAGACATAAGTAATATATGACACCATGTTCTTTGCTTGTGTATTCTAGCATAACTTCATTGACTTGATGACCTACTAAAAACTGCTTTATATACAGGATTCATGCTGTTAATTAACATCCACCTCTTTTTCTCAGTTCCACTCTGACTCTTTTTCCAGACTCATTAGAAACAAAGGTACCATTTGAATAGAACATTTCAAAAGAAGATCTTCTTGTCTTCTCTTCTGGACCACCCTGGGAAGAATGTATAAAGATGTACCACTTCTTTGATCAAGAGCATTAGAAGCAGACTTAAGCAGTTTTCTAAGTCCCTCTTGGGTGTACATGTGTGCTTGCCATTCACACATCCTGAAATGAGATGGAATGTGAAGGTACATTTTATGCTTTTCTAGAGCTGTTCTCAGATTAGGAAAGTATACCTCAGCTTCTGTCTGCTAGATGTTAATTGTGTTATGTAACAATCTGTATGGGTTTCATAAAGTACAAATCATTCAGTTTTTCTAATCTGATTCTGAAGTACTTTCAGAGTACCAAGTAATCACTGTAGATAGAATATATACAGGCTGAGACTGCTGACCTCATGAGACTTCCAGGTGCTCCAGATTACTTAAGGTGCTCAAACCATTAGGTGGTGTGTGAATCTTTACTCAGCTGGCAGTCCAATTTTATTCCTGATGTATAAGTCAAAAGTGTGTAAAACATTACAACAAAAGTCAGAAGAGTTTGTATGTCCTTTTTACTGGAACACTATATTCTTCAAAAAGGCAGGGAGGGAGGGAGGGATGAGCAAGTTTATTTGGTCTACCTTCATTTAGTTTATCTTCAATTAACCAAAAGGGAAACAATGTAAATTACTTTACAGCTGAAAAAAAGATTTTACAGACTCATCAGAATTTCTGAATTCTTTACTGAGAATAAGCATGCACTTCTGGTGCCATGATAACTCAACAGCTGGAGAGTGCTTTTTACTATTACTGTGGATCATGTTGTCCTTTTGTGTGAGAATACGTAATTACCACTATTTGTGGTGGCAGTTCTGCACTGACAACTGTAATTTGCTGATTCTTTTTAGAGCCATGTTGGGTTCTCAATCCATATATCCAAGTAAAACTTGAGAAGATGCAAGCAGCAATAGCAAAGCTGACTCAATCATCATTTATGCTAATTCAACTTGTGAGAGGCTCATGTCCTGTAATGGTAGAGTATTAGCAGGTTACTTGTTTTGTATTGATTTTAGGTATAATGTTACTTTTGTCTGAGAGCATAGCTAAGCAGAGGAAGGATATTCTAGTGTCTGTGATGGCAGCTTGAATTTGGGAAGCGTGGAATCAACTCTTCCAGAACCTCTTTTAGATGACTATGGGGATTTCACTTTGCTCATGCATCAATTCCCTGTCTGTAGAATGAGATGGTATTTCCCTGAGGCAAATTCTCTGTGACCCAAGCACTGTGGTAACAGTGTCCATATGAGTACCATGGAGAGTAAACAAGGCAATGTGGACTATAAATATGTAGTGGCTTTTAGTAAGTTACAGTCTAAAGCAAAGAAACAGACTCTTAGATAACTTCACTTTTGCTAGAAATCCATTTTAATTAAAGTTTAGAACTTTCTTCTTCTTTCTGTCCATTTTTCTTCTACTTCTTTAGTAGTTGTGCCAAGGTATCCATGTGTGTTTCTTCCACTGTCATCTGGCTCATTCCCAGCAGATGCACACAATCTGTTTTGCTGTCATTGACAGGGCTCAGTTTATGAAAAAAATGTGGCAGAACATGCTGCTGTAGTCACTTTTACAGGATTCTCTTTTCTAAGTAACTGAGAAGAAATTAATTCTTTTTCTTTTTTTCCATATTGTTCAGTCTTGGGGGTTTGTCCAGGCTACTTTGCATTGGGTTGAACAGGGTGTTTGTTTAACATCTTAGATTTCTTTTTTAATTCCTAATTTGTAAAGTTAAAATTTGTCAATTGTATGTATATAGAAATCACCACAGAATGCTGACAGACCTCAGTTTCAAGTGGCGGCAGTAATTCTGGCCATTCAGGAATAAATGTAGCATTCCCAACAATTTTAGACAATATTATAGTGTTTCTTTTAAGTTTTATAATATAAATACAAATTTTCCAATTTAAAAATAATCCTATCATCCAAAGATGTGCACTCTTAAGTATCCTGAATATATATTCATTATACAAAAGGATTTTATGTACAGGGATTATGTGTTCCTTCTCATGCAAAGTTAGAGTCAGTAAGAGACTGAGTAGAAACAAATCAAAAAAATGAAAAGTTTGACTTTATTGCCTACAGAATAAAAACTATAAACCTTAATGTTATCACTTATTGTGATATCGTGGTAACAGGTCTTGACATAGATTAGGGCCTGTGCATGATGCTGTGCAAACACACATTAATGAACGGCTCTACCTTTGGCCTTAACAGTATGAACAAAAAGAATAATAAAAAAGAACATAGATGGAAAGAAATTAAAATTTTTTACTATTATGAATGTCTTGCCTTTTTTCCCAGTGTTCAAAAGGAAGACTTGGCATAAGCAATTAAACTTTATTGAAGGTATCTAACCAGAAAAATACTATTTATTAGGTGATGGGTGTTCTCACTGTCTTTGCCAAAGAAAAAAATTAATCAACAGCTCAAATTTTGTGTTCCTTTTTTATTGCTTTCTACCTTTATTCCAATGAAGACAGGGATGACAACAGCAATTTCCACACTGGGCTACTATGTTTAAAGTGTAAACCGTTTAAAAAACCCTAATATTAAATATGTATAGGCATTTTACATGTTTATTAAAAAAGAGAATTTGGTTTACAAGCTGATATTGCTTGTAATTCTTTTATTTTTACCTAAATTTTCCCTTTGAATTGTACTTTGTTCGGACGGGTTGATGGCTCTGGCTTCTTTATTTTTTTTATTCTGCAGCTAAAAGCAAAACTGTTCAACAGCTAGAATCTCTATTAATTCCCCGAATTGAAAACTAGTTTAGTGAGCCTAGTGTCTTGGCTGGCTTTGAAATATCTGCATATATACATTAACATATATTAAATATATTTAAGTAAATTTGACTTATATTTTTAGGATGTATTTTTAAACACTATTTCATTTTGGGAAATGCCTTTATATACTTACAACTCTTAATTCCGATTGTTGTCCCTCACTTAGTTGCAGATTTTGTATCATTGATAGTTTGTTATGTTAAAAAAGCTATCTGGAAATATGCAACAGTGGTAGACTGACGTTAACTAGGCTAGTGGTTTTTCTGTAAAATGGTTTCTTATGATCATGTACCTATGATCATATACATATGTGTGTATATTGTACATGTGTGTGTGCTTTTTATATAAATATTAATGGTTTTCACACTATGCATGCTGCTGGGCATGCCTTAAATTGTATAAATAAAACTGTCAAAATGTCTCTTCAATTAGACCTCATAAAAATAATCAGTCCATAAATACGTGGTGTTCTTTCTCCATATATGTATATATACAGTTACTATATAAAATAAAAGCCTTTCTTCCATTGATCTAAACTTAAAATCCTCTGAATTATGGGTCAAAACCACAGTATTTTTAGTGGGGTCTTTATATGTGCTTTTTTATGTATTGGCATATTTTGATATAAAAAAAATAAATGTAAGAATACCAAACCTAATTTCTCTTGATCTTATAGATAGGCTGAATTAAAAGATGACTGTAACCTCTGTTTTTCTTGCATTATTTTTAATTTGTTTGCATGTTTTTTAAGGATAGTATTCTTGTATTTTGGAAAGGTCTGTTACAACCTAGACCTTCAAAGTTTCTGGAAATAATTTCAAGTTTTTAATTAGTCCTAAAATTACTTTAGGATGAGATTTGTTAATGTGGGCATTTCAAGGAGACAAATAACATCAGTGTTTCAGTTATCACATATAATGTAAAAAGCAGACAGAGAAAATAGGGTCCTCAGATGATTTCTTTTACTACCTCTATGTCTTGTTTGCTAGGCTCAGTTTTAAACTCAGTAATTATTATGACTTAGCCATTACCCTTTTAAGACTAAGATTTCAACACACCTATTAGTTGTTAGGGCAGCAAGAAGTGAAACGAATAATTTAATATATTTCTAAAAGAATTTACATGCTGATATTGAGAATTGATATTTCTCTGAAGTGTCAGGAAAGATGGTAAAGACCAAGTAAAAGACTTCAGAATGTAACATTTTCTCATTATGTCACCTGTCAGCCTTGATTTTTTTAAATTTAAGCATATTGACTGTGGTTCCTTTATTAAAAACAAAACCAAAAACACCTCCCCCCCAAAAAAGAAATTATAATTTAAAAAGCCTATAAAATTAATTGCAGCTTAGTACAACAATATGTTGCTTTTAGATCTAAATGCTAAACACCAGAATCTCAACACCATTTGCCTGGTATTTTATGATCCTACATGGAATCTTATCTGGTAAAAAAGATGAAATTTTTACACATCTGAACTGGACAAATTAGATGATAAATTCCAAAGCTGAAAACTTACTATATAGAACTTTATTCTCAATGTTAAGCAGTTTCACATTCTGTTTCAAACATCAATGCTGGTCTCTGCTGTAGATATCTAGTAAGTAAGAAGATATGAAATAAAGAGGGTGTTTCAGGTTTTTTTTTTTTTTCATTTTACATAGCTGATCACTTTCTATGAAAAAAACAAACAAACAAAATCATAAGAGAACTGGTCAAATGATTAGCAGAAAAGCAATAGACTGAGAGCTATTTTTTCACAGGTACTGCAATTTTTAATTTATATGAAGTTTTGTATTCCATTTATTTTCATCACTACTGAATAGGGACTAGTATTTTCAGTCTCCCAGTAATGTTTCAGGAATAAACATTAATACTTAAGTGACAGTATGCACATATTCTGTGTATCTTCAGATAAGCCAATTTATAGAACAGGTCAGTAAATCCTGCATATATTTCCATCTTACACTTGAACAGTAACATAAATAACTTGAGAATATCATTAAAGATATAAGTTGTATGTATGATTATACACTGGAAAATTAAAATATAATTAATATTATAAGACTAGGTTTTCTTGCTGTTAAGGAAGTAGAACAGTTGGGGCTTTTTCCTGTCAAAATACTTTCCAGTGTCCTGCCAGTAGCATGTTTCCAATGGGAGAATCACCATCTCTAGTTGGCTGAAGTGGATTTTTTCCCTATGTAAGGCTAGATGTGGATTTTTCATGAGCAGAAACAAGCAGTTTTTGTGATGTGAGCTGGCCTCCAAAATATATTATTCATAGAACATGGTTCTTCACCAGTGATGATAGCTTGAGCTAGCACTGCCCCTGGTGAAAGGACTGTTTGTATGGGGAACTTTT